ATGAAATGAAATTCCTTTGATATTTACTGAATATAATTTAATGTAAATTTTCAATGTTCCAACATATTACTCACCAACGACAACAATATTCGGCTAGCTATGTAGCATTACCCTTTGGAAGCTCAATTTTTCCAACTTTCATGTGCTATGTTATCAAAAGATATGTGTTTTTTGTGTGGATCATACATGTGATTTTGGTCTTGCAAAGCGACTGCATGGAGAAGACCTCACATCTTTCGTATTGTGACTCCTTATTTCTGATGTCTCTTTGAATGGTAAGGTTGCTGCATTTTGAGATTGCTGCACATCAATCAAAATTTCGTGTTCTGGTGTCTTATAAACAAGAAGGTGACATGAAATTGAGAGGTTTGACTGGGCGTATTAAGGAAGCAGGTTAGTTATATTAGAAAATTCGTTAACTATTAACTGCTCTATTAAGTTACAGTTAGAATAGATGGAGGTTAAGTGAATCGGTTAGTTTGTTTAGCTAATTCTGGTTAGTGACTGTTAGTTGCATGAGATGTTTGGTTAATAGTTAGTATGAGTTGTTAAGAAAATGGAATGTGCAGTTGTTAAATCGAGCTGGAGGCAGTCTTATTTGGATTTCAAAACTGATATTTTCGCTTGAAATTGATTTGTGATTTGCATTATAGACAAACTGTCATGGCTTTGTTTGTGAACCAAACTTGGATCTTTGAATTTGTACCATTTGACATGTTTGAATGAAATTGCATTGCATACTGGATATGAACTATTTGGCCTTACTGTATATATATGTGTCAATATTGATGTTTGGGTTTTAGTTTATTGGGAAGATGGTGTTACTGGTGAAAATATCACTCAAAACATGCAGTTAAACTCATGTTTTTACTTTTAGTATTATAACATCAACTATCTAAATATTTAAGCATAGTATGTACACCATGCCAAAAACTGATTACCAAAATTTAACATTATCATAACACCCATCGTTTACTAAATACTTGACCAAAATATTTAACAGATGTTCAAACCTTACAAATTTAAAAACACAGAGTCAACATAAACAAAAAACATAGAAAACTAATCCTTCTTTCCCATTACATATCCAACACAATCTGCTTCACTGTCTATTCTTTCCCGGCTCATCATAAACCAGTATTTCATCGGCTGGCGGATATCGGATGCAAAAATGCAGAATGTCTCCTTTCTTTAGTTTTTCATGTTTAGCAAATTCATACCAACCAGTTGTGAGATACTTCTCGCCTTCGTCATCATTCCTCACTTTCACTACACAATTTTCTGAGATACCCTTGTTAGAATCATATTAGGCAATCGAGATGACCGGTCCCATTAGGCACTTCTTAATCACTTCACGCGGTAGTTAATGCAAAACATTTACTTAAATTATATGACATTCAACCCTGAAAAAGTTAAATATACTGCGGCAACTATTAACTTCTATTACTTACCAACACATTCCTCCTCATAACCTTAGCATTAGATACAACCCTGCTCCATGTTTCTTCGTTTTCTTCAACATACATTGGAGTAAATTTCCTGATTCAAGCACCAAACCAAATATATGCATACTAATGTTAATGTATTTCTTCAATATAACTTATCCAATACATTTTAGTCATCCTAAAGATACTTTAAAACTACATCATATACTACATTATTAACGAATTTTCAATACTGTTAAACTTTTCCAACATAACGCATCATAGAAAATACACAACAATATAGTTGGGTTCCATTATATTTGTATTATCTATAATTTTGCAAAAACATAATAGGCCACAAAAGACTTAGTAATCTTTACATACTGAACTTCCAACCAAAAACCTACGTAAATCATGCTTTTATAACCTTATTATCGCACTGTACGTCAATAATATATACATAACATTTTGCGACATTATTATCATGAAAACAATAATATATACATAAATTTTTTATACAGTAGGAAAAACACCTACATTTAATAGCATCCATGCCTTTTAAAATATATCAATTCCAAAAACAAAACTTACCCTGACTTTGTTGTCCCTTTGACGCCTGCTAAACTGTTATTAATTCGTTTCGCTTTAACATTACATTTGCTTCCTCCGACTTTACGTTCATCATAACCTTTCCCTTTTAATCGAGAATCAAGACGTATTCCAGACAGAGAACAGTATTCCATAAAACCAATGATATTCATCTTTATATTGGTTTGTTGGAGAAATTTACGTGAAGATTCAACATATTTGTTATACTTATTTTCGATCTTTTGGCGTTCAACCGATGACAAATTCTCTGAAGCAAATATACAACAACTTTCATCATGTATATATATTACTCACAAACTATATAACTTCTAACTAAAACAGTATCGATTCCATCAACAAAATTAACAATACTTGAAGATCGATAGCTACTAACTTACCCACATGCATGTCGTTTGACCCCACGATTCTTCATCTTCAACTAGAAGTTAAATCAGGCTTTTCTTTCTACTGCTTCTCCGCATTATGGTAAGCTGCAATTTGAAGTTTTAACAGAAGCACTTTTCCTGTATATCTCAATGCAAATCCATTTTAACGTTATTATCACTAGAATGTCCCTTTTGTACTTCCATTCCTTCTTTAACAACGGCCCAATGCCCCATTTGACTCTCCATATCTTTTTTGGCAATAAAATATTCACTAATAGATACAAATTATTTCTTTGTATACTATATATTTATATTATTATATCTTTTTAAACAGAATAAAGATTACAATTTTGTTATTATTTTATACTTGTAATAAGATCAGTGGTCAAGATTTAAGCAATATTAAAACAAAAAGTGAACCCACTTATACTTATACTCACATTTTCACCCTTTGTACACAAAACACGGTTGACTTTAATCCTAACCCTCCCCACACAGTGCGCTATTTCCTCTTCAGATCATCCAAACATGGCGGCCAGAGACTGCTCGAAGACCACAACAACCTCAGACGAAAACATATCATGGTAAGTGCGAACGTTAGAAATATGATTATTGCTGATTGCATGTCATTTCAGTTGTTAAAATGCTAACTTGTTTGTATCTGCATGTGTGTTTAACGATGGTTGTTTGTGGTCATTTATAATGTTGTTGATGATTAATAGGTTAGAAACTCATGTATCAGGTTTTTTATGCTACAACGATGATAAAATGATTTTGTACAATGATTATTTAGGGTCACCTTCCTTCGGATGAACCTGAAAACAAACACTTAGCATATGCAAAACAGTTAATGATATTCATATAAGTAATATGCATTTCCTGATTTTTGTTGAAATACGGAATCTGGCCACTCGCACACTATAACAGAGTTTGTTGTTTCTGTTGAAATATTGCAGGACAGATACCCCTATTTGCTGAGAAGATTTTAGAATAAAGATGGATTCAGGTGTTTCAGATCCCATGACCATGCGCTGCAATGCCCTTGTAAGTAAAAAACTCATTTGTATCTATACCTTTCAATTGAGAATATTGGTAACAAAACTATGCAAACTCAGTTTTATTCATCCATCTATATTTGTTCATTAACAATAAATACCCAGAGACATAATCAGAAATTGTTTTCGGGGAGGAGAAAGACCGATTAAGCTGTTAGATTGCGACAAATGAGTCCCGTACTATTGCCTTTTGAAAAAGCAGAAAGGAGTGTGGAAAGGTACCTCTTAGGTGACTGGTATGAATATGTCAAGGAAGCCAATCTGAAGGTTGGTGATACAATACACTTCGGAATCCGTTATCCACCAGTGGACGAGATACTTATATCGGTGGAGCGAGGAAATGCAATGAGGGTTGGCCGTCGTGGTAGGATAATGTTAAGGTTTTTTATTTATATAGAATTAACATATGTTTATGTCAAGACTTATGATATTTTGGTTTCTTATGAGTGTCTTTGGCAACGCTATAATGATTTTAAGTTGCCCCACCATTGTTATTAGGTGAACAACTTATTTTGTGTAACATGAAACTTATGAACGTTTTATATTACTATCTTATTAGATAATTAAGTATGTTTGTTTCATATACTTTTATTATTATCATTATGTGACAATTTGACTATACCGTCGTACAAGTGACAATTATAACTGTTTAACAATTATGGAATATGATTGAAGCTATTCTCCCTTCATTCATGACCTCTTCTTCAAATTTATGCAAGTCTTTGTGATTGTGATGTTTTATAATTACCCATGTTTGCTGGATGTAACTGTTGGTAGTGTAAGATTGAAATTTTGTTAGCGCCATGAGCATGTATTGGTTGCATTTGAGAAAATAAATCTACAACAAGATCACAACAATATCTTTACAGCAACCCCCGCTTTCATTTTATTGCATTGTTGTAGAGCTATGATAAAGTATGGTAATACAATGTAAATAGTTCGGTGGTAATTCCAATTGAAGTAACATGTGTTGTTGTGTGTTATCACTTTATGCTATATTTTGGTATCTAAAATACAATTTTAACTGAGGTAGTATGTATTGTTGGAAACTTGCAGCTAACATATAAGGCTTATGGCAGTTAAAAATTATATGTGTTTGCACGTTAAACGTAAGTGAACTAGTATCAATAATATACATAAGAATGATATGTTTTTGTTACTATTTCAATTTCACATTATTTCTTTAATTCAAACTATTTCATTTTATTGATTTATACTCATTGCACAAATTAATAATGCAAAATATATTTTTTACAAATTAAATTATTTTTTTATTTATATTTTTTTTTATCATAGATAATGTCATAGCATTTAGTTATTTTTTCTTTCTAAATGAAATCCGCTTAACTCAATAAAAGCGTCAGACTAGTACTTATGGGAACGCACGTATATCATACTAGTTAATTATAAAATAATAATTTCCCCTAAAAATTTACATACACAACTATAAGGTTCGGGATTCAAAGATAGGATGATACAGTTTAATTTAATAATATCAATTTTAAAACAACCTTTATTATTTTTATTCTATAATATTTAATATTCCTTTAGGGACAATTTTTACCCTTGCCATGTCCACCAAAGTAAATGTGATACCCCCACTTCGGATTAGTATCTCCTTGTACCGTCCTATAACAATAAAAATTTGATACTATATGCCTAGGATTTTTCAAGGGAATCAAGTTGTAATCATCATCTATAACTTGCATATTTTTAATATATGCAGCTTTTCCAAAACCCTCTTCAGGAAAGTTTCCACTCCCCATTACGGTGGAAGTGTGAGACCCTGTTGTTTTGAAATTCACTATTTCTCCACCAAAATTAACTTCATTTGCAGCATGCTTCAAGTGTGTGAACAACTTGGACGGCCAGTACCCAATTAAATTTTCAGATCCATATCCATATCCAAGCCACCAATTTCCAGTTTTATTATCCTTCATACACAAAATATAATTAAAGTTAAATGGTTTAAAAAGAGGTAACTTATGATTTTAAATTGTGGTCACAGTCGAAATATTGATGATGCATTAGTCTCGGCAAATTAAAACCATGACGAAAAGAATATGAAAGTTAAAACACTTCATTTGAATTCATCGAGATTGGAGCAATGTAGATATTACCTTCAAGATCTTTAAGGGCATGGAATATTGCTTTCCCTTATATGTTGAAATCGTAGAAATTGTACCTCCAATTACATATTTTTTGTTAGTTTGAACAAAGCCTGGACACATTAAATTGTAGCACCCAGTGCTTTTATAATCATCACCCTACAATTATTAATATTGTCATGTAATAATATAGTTTAACAACTAATTGATAGTAGTAATTTATTTATACTAGTGTTCTTACCGTCCAATAAATAAAAAATCTAGTGTGGTAGTCACCGTAGAGTTGCGGGTAGACCTACATAAAAATTAATCAAAATTCATTGTCTTCAACATGTGGATTTAGCAGGCAAAGAAAAAGAATCAATGGTGTAATAAATGAGAATTATTTAACATGCCTGCCAACCAGTTTCAATGCTGTTGAGATCTTTTCCAGGTGTACCAGCGACAAGCCACATTTGCGCCACGCTAAATTCCTTCGAACTTTCTACATAGGGTGTCCACACGTTTATGGCACCCTCAGCTCCATAGAACATATTATTTTCCTCTGATACAATTGCATACTGTTCAACAATAACAAGAACTAATTTTATTACTCTAAGAATCTATAATGCACATGTGAGTTGTTACGTTGAATTCGTGTGATTGCTTACTTCATGTACGTAAGGACCCGCGAATTTTCTTCCAAAGCTATTGATAGAGTAAGCTCTTAAAATGTCTTCTTCTGTTATTCTTCTAATTGGAATTGTTCCATCAGGACATGATTCACCCGATAAACTCCATAATTGAAAGTGATCACTAGTATTTTCTATTTGATTATGCCTTCTTAGACTTTGAGGAGGATCCTAAAAATAAGAATATACAAAAAAAAGAAAAAATTCTCTGTCTATAAAAGTTGAAATATAATAGCTTTCTTGATTTCAATTTTTTAAAATTATGTAATAAAATACCATTGGTTTTTCTCCTTTCAATAAAGAATGATCAAAAGCCGGTTGTTTATGCGTCAAAACACAGTCTATGATATCGCCATCAGAACTCTGCAAAAGTGAACACAAATATAAAAACAAGTGTACATTAGAAAATTAAAATTAAAAATATATTACAATTAAATATGTATTACTAAACAATTACTATTAAAAATATATTACATCAGAAAATTCTTGCATCCAACATTAACTAACTGAGTTTTAAAATTTATACCTGAATTGTCTTAATCGCGGGCTTGTTGATTTGTTGAAGACGGGTAGCTATCATCTTCTTCAATTTGTAAAGTTGTTGCATAGATTGAAAGGTTTGATTGACAGATTGGTGGTTTTTTGTTTCTAAAGAATTAATAGGAAACCCAGAAGAAACAACAATAAAAATATATAAAAGAGACAACTGATTGAAGAACTAAAATCCATTTTTGATTTTGAGAATTTTACTCTAACACAAGTTTG